AAACCTGTAGTTTACAAACAAAATGTTGTTAGTTCCATACAATGAAACTCACTAAAACCATGATAGAAACAAACAAACAAACAAAAAACTTTTCAACCTCTTTTTTTTTGTTGTTTATAAAATTACCAAAAATAAGATGAAAATGCATCGACTTCTTTTAAGGTCACTCAGATGCTTTGTTTTGATAATGACCAATTGCTGTTATTTGTATAGTCTCCTACAAAGTCCTGTTCTGAAGCAGGGAAACCTCTGACCTTCTACAGTTTCCCAGTTTAAAGTAAGCAGAGTACTGTACTGGGCACAAGGTGGAACAAAATATTGTGTTTTCATGTTCCTGCCATGTACACTGGCATGGTGGCAGGATAAAGACAGTGCTCTTCTGTTTCTGAGATGAAATTTTGAGCAGACTCACTCTGTGATCTTAGTGCACTTATGTCAAACTCCTGTGCCTTCTGTGGGACATGACACACTGAACAATGCTGGAACATCATTATAAGAAACTCGAGTCTGGAACATGTTGAAACTACAGGTTAGCTCTAAGTGTCATATTGTTATAGCACCATATTTAATTTTATTATTTTAACTGTACTTCATAAAGCAAACCCCAAAAGCCCCTCGGCTCGAACTGCATCTGTTAGCAGTGGACAAAGAAGAGTTTGTGCATCTGCGCAGAGGAACAAATTAATTAGAATTAGAGAAAACAACAAGTGAGGAAGAAGTGACTCGAGATTTTTAGCTCAAGCTGTAGCGAGTGTGTCAGTGAGGTCAAGGATTGCTAATTACCTACATGAATAAGACAAGTGTAACCATTTTCTGACGTTTGACTTCGACAACACAAGTGTGGTTAGCCAGCAGGAGGCTAAAACATGAATGTAGTTAAATGTGGGTCACTCTGGAGTTCGGCAAAGATCAAATAAATTAAAAACTACACATTAAGTAAAGCACTAATTAATTCACGATGAGGGAAAAGTCTTTGTTTAAACTCCCAAACTGCTAACACTGTAGCCTGGATCTGTGTTAGTGAGCCGACGGAGAGTCGCTGACGATGCAAAACAAAAACAGTTCGCTATAAGCTCTAAAGAACATTTAACCCACCTGCTACTATGCGTCCAGGTTACTTACAGTCCCTCACACAGCAACGACGACGTGTGCAGTTCACGTACAGTGGCATTTACGGTTAATATTCATTGTTAGATGCACGGAAATACATAAAGGGAAACACTTTTACAGCACTTGTTTTGTTTCACTGCCGTTTTGGCTACATGAGTGAGCAGGTCATGTGATCCGTGCAATTCAACCAATTAGAGTGGCGTTTTCACGTGACGTACAATATGGGCCTTACTGTAATGTAATTCTCCC